TCACGAAGAATACACCTGACCCATCCTTCAAATCTGGGGAAATTAAGGACACATTTGTCAGCTGCATTTGGAGAAGTGTTTGAGTTTGGGCAGTTTTTGTTGCGTCGCTGTAACATTGTTGGTCTACAAATGCGGCCCCTGAATTTGGGCACTACCCGACAACAGCTGGTCGGGTAGTGCAGTTGAAGACAACTGCTTCTTCTTCTTCGGCGTTTAACAGCAGCTGGGATCCTTATAGATAAAGTGCTGCCATCTTCTGTTTCAGTCTGTTATTACACTCTTAAATCCTACTACTTATTCCTGCGTTTTTCAGGATCTTACAAAGCTTCAAACGACGCGTTGACTATTAAATTAGTCTGACTAGTCGACGAATCGTGGCAGCCTTATTGTTCACTCTGTACTGGTTGTGTTTGACTGTATTCGGCAGCTGAGAAAGAAAAGTTCACAGAAACAAGGCGCTGCGGCCTCTTGATTAAACGACATCACGATTTATTTTCTCTGTGACGTTACTCTTCTCGTCTCAGACTCTTGTGTTCATCTCTTCTGCACTTTGGTAAACTTGTGTTTTCTTTGATGGTGCTGACTCTGGTCCAGGCTGCTGGAGATGCTCCAGGACTACAGCTCTGTGGTGGGCAGGGTCCCGCCTCTCCTCCTCCCCCTCATGCAGCCCTTCATTGGCCGTGTGGAGGAAGCTTTCTCCCCTGGGCTCACCTCACTGTCCTGGACTTCTCTCAACACTGAGCGGTGTAAGGTCACAGAATTCCGTTAACACCGCTTAGGTTTCCTCCTTCTTCTTCTGCTGCGTTCACTTACTGGCACTCACACACGCATACGCTCATTCACACTCTTTTTAGGCCTACAATCCCCCTTACCCCGGCGAGCTCTTTCCTCCTTAACATTGGTAGAGAAACCATACACTCAACGCCCTTAACTGCAGAGATCCTTTTATTTTTATAGAGCTCTATCCTCCTTTCGGTGGAGAAACCGTCTTAACCCTCTTTAAAACTCTGGCGAGGAAACCACTCTACCTCCTTAAAATGGCGGAGAAGCCAATCAATAGCTAGCAACTTTCACTCACACGGTTATAGAGATGCTCTCGGTTTGCTTACCGTTGTGTTGCGTTTCGTTCACAGGAGAGTCCCAGAATCCCATCAGTCGCCGTCCACGAGGGGAGTTCAAACGCTATCTCGCTGGCCTGGTCGCGAATTTAACACTCCAGGGCTTTGTCAGGCGTCCTAACGGCCTGGCTGTTGACAGTCTGCGGCGTGTCCTCTCTTTCCTCAGTGTGCGGCAAAATTCTTGGGCTCCAGCTCGGAGGACCAAAAAATGTTGGGTCTAAAGTCAGGCCCCGCTGATCCCAAAACTTATTCCCGTGAAAGAAAAACAAGGCAACAG